CACACAAGGCTCCGAATACATCAAAAAACATCATATTGTTACTGTGGGGTGGGGGTCAGATAGGCAGTGGAAAAGCAGAGCAGGGGGGTCTCCACACCCTCTGTTTTGCTCTATCTTTGCTGGAATTCAGGTGGGCTGTGTGTGTTTGGAATACATCCCACACATGAGTTCAGAGAAGAGATCTGCAGGCTGCAAATCATATAATGCAGAGCAAAGAACCACATTGGCTGCTGATCCTCATGCCACACAGCAGTCAGTGCAACAGACTGCCCCAGTGTCCCTATATTCATGTTGGAGGAAGGAGAAAGATTCCATCCTCCCCAGTCCCCATGTACTTTTCACAGGCAAAATCAAAGGTTGGTAAATGCACATCAATGTAAGTAAGGGTTTCACAACTTTATCACCCAATCTAATTATCTGTGTTCCTCCACTCCCAGACAACCTTCTTATCTGCATGCATGGAAGAGCATGCCTTGATCTTTAGAGATGTCAGTGTCAGAATAATAGTGCTTGAGAGGGTTCATTTAGGGAAAATGAAATGACTGATCGGTTTACTTTGTATCATTATTTATTGTTCTAGTTGTGGTACCACTAGGAGTGCTGTGATAATGACACTCCTCTACTTAATGGCACTGTGATTGCAGCCTCTATTCAATTACATTAATGTAATTTAGATCTTGTCTACACTTAATGCTACAGTAGCACAGCTGCATTGCTCCAGTTGCGCCACTGTAGCGCTTCAGGGTAGACACTACCTATGTCAATGGGAGGGGGTCTCCCATCGGCGTAGGTAATCCATCTCCCCAAGAGGCATTTTTCTGTCAATTTAGCACAGGTTACACACCAATTTAGGTTGGCTTAGCTATGCCATTTTACGTGGATTTTACGTGGATTTTTTCAAACCCCTAAGCGACGCAGTTATGCCAACCTAATTTTCTAGTGTAGACCAGGCCTTATTAACAGTATCCAGGGCAGGCAAGCAGATCACAAATTTAAATCCTGACCAATCTCTAATATAACAGCAGCGTATATCTCTGTTGCATATTATATCTGTCTAACCACTTATATAATTCCATCACCATAGTGCCAGAATGTCTTCCAACCATTTAAAAATAGAAATAACAATAGTAATTTCTCTCTTTCCTCCTTATCTGTGGAAGAAATAGCTTGAGTAGTTTATAAGGAATGTTGTATGTGTTGTGAGGGTGTGAAGCACTTATGATGGGAAAGAAGCCAAATGAAAAGGTTTGAATGTAATGATTCTAGGGGCTATTATGTCTTCTGGTAGAAGATTTCATAGGCCAAGTCTACACTACAGCCCCCACAGTAGCACAGCTATGCTGCCATAGCCCGTAGTGTGGAGGCTTCCTACATCAATGGAAGGGTTTTTTCCATTGTTGTAGGTAATCTACCTCTTCGAGAGGCAGTAGCTAGTTCAACAGAAGGATTCTTCTGGCAACCTAGCTACATGAGGGATTACGTCGAACTAACTACAACACTCGGTGCAAAATTTTTCACAGCCCTGAGCAATGTAGTTAAGTCGACCTAAGTTTTAGGTGTAGACCGGGCCATAGCCTCAGGCCTTGTCTACATGAGTACATTGCACCAGTTTAACTAAAGGAGCAATTTTAAATTGATTTAGGCCTTGTCTATACATACAGCATTGCAGCGGCACAGAGGTGCAGCTGTACCAGTACAGCTGTGCTGCTGCAGCGTGTCTGGTGAAGAGGCTGTATGCCAACAGGACACAGGAGAGAGCTCACCCGTCAGCATAAAAAAACACAAGAGGCATAAGCTACATTGGCAGGACAAGCTCTCCCACCGACATAGTGCTGTGCACACAAACACTTATGCCGATATAATTTATGTCACATAGGGGGATGGAGTATTCATATCCCCAAATGACATAAGTTTGCCAACATAGGCTGTAGAGTTAGGGTGACCAGACGTCCCGATATTTAGGCGTTTGTTCCAATATTTCACATTCCTGGTTTTTGTGTTGTTTTTTTTTACTCTGCCAGCGGGACTCTCCCCTCCCCCCATGTGTCCCGATATTTTCTTCATCCCATCTGGTCACCCTATGTAGAGTAGACATAGCCTTAGTTAAACCAGTGCAAAAACTGTGGGGACTCTCATATTTCAGTTTAAACCAGTCTTATTTCAATCAGTTTAAGCTGATTAGGAGTCTGCTTAAGAGAAACTGAAAAATACCACTTTTAAACCTAAACAAGAGAGCCCATCTGAGTTTAAAAATCAGTTTAAAAAAACAACTGAAATTAAGCCTGTACAGCTTTCTCTTGTAGGCAGGCCTTATTCCATATACATATATATGTGGGTGTGCTTTGGAGTGGATGTACATATATATGTATGCAAAGAATACATATAGCAGTAAGGTAGCAATACTTACGTAATGTTCTGCTATCAGGATTTCTAATATAAACCTCTATTTTTAGGAGTTTATAACTCAACCCAGTGATAAAAATTTCCTCCAGGCTGAAACTTGGCAGACATGACCTAAGCCTGGGAAAGAATTTTTCACAAGATTCATGAAAAAACCAATAATCAGGTCACCCATTTCAGACCAGTAAAGAAGTATACAACAGACATTTTCATTGGCTTCAGGTTTTGATTTTGGCATTCTCCTATAACTCAAAAAAGCTTCATTTAAATACTAGCAATAACTGCCAAGCAATTATCACATCATGTGGATGAAACATTATCTATATTTAACAATATTTTAAATAACCAAACTATGGTTAGTTTTAAAATATACACTTTTAGCACACACATTTCAAGATGTTTACTGAGCATCCCAGAGAGGTGTATGCATAATTCTAGGGTCTGGTATTACTGGAAGTCTGCTGGTCAGGAAAGATTGCAAATGAGATTGTGCTGAAAGAAACTGTGCTTTAGGGGAGATGGCATGGTGTAGTGGATAGCGCAAGGGACTGAGGTTCTGAAGATATGGACGCTAATCCCAGCCTTGCCACTCACCTCCTGTGTGATCTTGGGCAGGAGCGCCGCCAGCTTTTCTGCCGCCCTAGGCGGCGGAAGGTCCCGCCCTGAAATGCCGCCCCCCACAGAGGCAGCGGAAGGTCCCGCTGCCGAAATACCGCCGCGGTCGCCGCCCCCCAAATTGTAGCACCCTAGGCGACCGTCTAGGTCGCCTAATGGGTTGTGCCGGCCCTGATCTTGGGCAAATCGCTTCACAACTCTGTGCTTCAGTTTCCCCTCCTCACTCATTGTCCCTCTTGTCTACTTAGATTGTAAACTTTTAGGGGCAAGGACTATCTCTTATGTGTATATACAGTGCCTTACACACTGGGGCCCTGATGTCAGTTGGGGCCCCTATGTGCTACTATACTATGAAATAATACTAATGCTCTGGAAACCCCACTTCCTAATATAAATGCGTGCAGGTCTGTCTAAGTCAGTGTAAACTGATAAACTGACAGAGATTCAGCAGTCCTGGTAGCACAAGAACATATTGGCATTGAGGGAAGGGAGCAGTGTGGCTCAGGGTGTCCAGAAAAGCTTTTTTTTTTTAATATTGTGAAGGAAATTAGAAGGAAGACATGAAGAGGAGTGAGTACAAAAATAGAGGTGTCCCAAGTCTAAAAGAAAGGGGGCAAAGAGCAAAGAGAGGAATGGGACAGGGGACAGACAGCAAGGAGGATGGGAACAATATGAGAAGGAAAGAGAAGAGAAATAAATGGAAGGAGTTGATAACAGGTGAGAAGGGTTTGATGATCATCTCTTCCCCCTCCTCTCCTTCCCCCGAGTCTGACCCTTAAATTACTTAATCATAAACTGTGTGCCTGTGAGTAGTCTTACTGACTTCAATGGGACTGCTCATGTGAGTATACACTAATGCACATGCTTAAATGGTTGCAGAGTCAGGGCTAAACTGCCTAGTGATCATGTAATGAAAGGTCTGTTAACAAAGTAGAGTGACATCTACAATTCTGAATTTCCTGACTTCATTGTTAATGCTTTTTGGTGTTCTTTTTTTTAATGAATAGATAGTATAGATTATGTAGGGGTGTTTGTATGTGACCATACATATATATATATATATATATATATATATATGAAGTGAAATCCTGGCCCTATTAAATTCAGTGGCCCAACACCCATTGTTATCCCAGTGTGACTAGGATTTCACCCATGGGTGCGTGTGCATGTGCCTATGTATATAGATTACACACATACACCCTATGTATCATATACATGCAGGGAAAAAAGGAAAAATGAACAAACCAAAGTTATTACCCACTGTTTAAGAACAAATCAGCCTCCATAACTTATGGAAAATCAGCCATAATAGAAATGCAACATCTTATAAAAAGCCTTTTCTCATCTAAAAAAGAAAAGCTGTAAATGTATTGTGAAAGCTAATTATTCTGTATAAACAGTTGAGGTGTTGGTCATAATAGCAGCTCTGTTGGATACAAAGTTTTTTGGCATTTATAAACAGCATAAAAAACAAAGTATGGTCAGGGGAAATGAAAATATACAGTAACTGGTTGGGGGGGGGGGGGGAAGTAAAGGAAAACAGATGCCTTGGCTGAGACTGATGGTTTCATGGCGCTCTTGTTCAAGAATGGCTAAGGCTCACCAAACAAAGCCCCAAAGATATTGTCTTATTATGCTACATACAGTGTTATATTTATTTGACTAGTTAACAAAGGTAAAGAAATTGAAAAGTGAAAGTGTGCAGGAATTACAGTGCAAATGTAGTGCTCTTGCTGGCTATTTTGTTTCTAGATCTTTGCATGTATGAAGTCATACAGAAATGATATTTTAAATGAAGAATGTTAAAAGAAAATCAAATTAGTAGAGTCAGAAATAAAATCAACATGGACTCGAATGTCTCAGTGAAGGCTAATGATGATTGAATATTTTCATTATGCTACAATTGTACTATTTTTGGGCACCTTTACATGTAAGCATTGGCGTGAGGGGGGAACAAAGGTGTTGTTCTGTGTTATTTACTGTACCTGTGGGTAGCTGTCAGTCCGTGGTAGAACAGATATATCATAGGTGGCAGCAAAATGGCTTTTAGCTTGCTGGATCTGTCCATAGCGTTCTCTTTTTCTCCATTTGGCTCTTCGATTTTGGAACCAAACCTACACCATGAAAGCAAATAACAATCACAAGAAGCTATTGAAAAGCCTTTCCTGAAACCAAAAGACTTCGGAAGGCAACTTCCAAAATTGCCATGTTTCTCTGAAAGGAAACTTCTCTCATTGAAAAGAGGAAGCTCATTGTCCCCTCTCACCCCAGACCCTTTCGATATAAGGTCTATTGAAGTGAATTCTGGCTCTTTGAGGTGTGTTTACAGGAAATCTATTTTTCCCCTACTGACTGAAGGAAAGAGACAGAGAATGATCAGCACATAAGGTAACATGATGTTATATATCCCAATTATTTTGGGCAGCCCACTCAGGTAGCAGCAAGTCACACCTAAAAAGTCCCTTCACTTATTATTAATTTCATACAGCCAATAGATTGTTATGATTGGCTAAACTCTTTATGTTAAGAAGTGGTATATAAACTTTATGTGGAGCAATAAAAAATGGTGGGGGAAGCTGGCTAACAGCATCTGTGAGCTTTGCTGTATAATGGAGAGGATCTTGAAGGAAGGGACACAACCAGTCAAGGCTGGGAAACAATAAACAGTTATGGGGCAAAGGCTGTTCTTTCTAATAGGATCCAGTGGATAGTCCTGGCAGCATGCATGAAATAGCTCAATGAAAAGAAATATTACTTTTACTGGGAGATAGTCCTGTTTGGAATACTGGAGGTCTGGGAAGGAAAGGAATTTCATTTCTAGGTTCACTTAGGGTCTGATCAAATGCCCACTGAAGTCAATGGAAAGATTAACTTAAATGGCCCTTCGATTAGGCCCTTAGTTATTAAGGCATTAATGTATCTAACTCTCTGAGTATTTATATTGTACTCAGCACAGTATTGTCTGAGAGACTAATATGAGTCCACCATGTTGTAACTCGTGACTGGCGTCTAAAGATGGGGGTACACCTTGTGATGTATAATTAAAGCTTCACTCTATTTTGGAAGTTTAGTTTGAAGTGCCTAGAAGAGTTTATATGCCTCCTTCGTAGCCTGCTACAAGTTGAACCAAACCTACTATACTGAGGGCTCTATTGTGCAATCCAGACTCATGATGGTGAACACTTGCTCATGAGAGTCATCTCACAGAATCAAAGGGACTGCTAATTTGAAAGTGTTCATCAACAGAGGTAAGGGTTGCCCAGTTAAGCCCTTATTGTTCTGCTATGGGTAAATTCATTTTGATACTTGTTAATAAAGTTACCATGTTAGTAAAACTAATATCACTAATTGTATTGAGGATCCCCAGTCACAGACAATGACCTCATTGTGCTAGGCACTGTACAAACATAGAACAAAAAGATGGTACCCACCCGTATACTAAGGGATGCTTCATTATACTGGATACCACAATATTTAAAATAAAGTTATATGGTATTAGACTCTAGAATAGGGCATGTAGCTCTCTTTGGGCTGAGCAGAAAGTCTCATGATGAGGAAATAATTTAAAGACTCATCTGTCATTAAAACGTAACATCAAAATGAGAGTTACTTGAAAAAGTTTCTAGTTGGTTTTAGTGCTTTTAACTCCTAGGGATTTTTGCCCTGGTCCTCTGGGACTCTAACACTCCCTTGATATTGTCTGAGCAGCAGGGGCATATTATTGGTCAGTTTAATTTCTAACTACTTACTGCAAATTTAATATGGCAGTCTTGAAAAATGTACCCAGAAATCAAAACAAGGCACAGAATACCTGTTGAGCATATTTTCTATGAACCTTGTTGGTAAATTTGTATTATCTATCATGCCTGGGGCTCAGCAAAATATATATATAGTATTTTTTTCCTGCTGTCTCCACAGGAGGCACCAGGAACATGCTAAGGGAATTTAGTAATGAGGCTCTTTCATTGAAAAAAGACCTTGACAATCTCCTTAAAATGGGTGCCAATTACTGCACTGACATGCAGCAGGAAAGAGAACAACTTAGATAAATTAGGTTCAGGTTGGCTCTCTCTGCATGTATGCAGGACACAAATTAAACTGGATCTTGATGAAATGGCGGTGAAGAGAAATGTGGGTAGCATATCCAGCTGATCATTCCACTAAAGTAAATGAAACAATTTGTTTGAATTTATAGTAACTAAACTAGAAAAAAAAAGCACACTTTTTTTTCTTTGACAATCCCCCAGAATGTTTCTGTTTACATCACTTTACTAGAAACTGACTCTTGGCAAAGATAAAGTAACCATTTGCCTACACAAAGTAATGCAAAACTGCTGCTTGTTATCCTTACATTGCCAGATGCTTGCCCCTAATGATGCAAGGCCTTTTAAACTGCTTAATCCCATGATGGAATAATGTTGCTACTCAGGATCAACATGATCACCATTTCCTTTCATATTCCTTTCTTATTTAGCTTCTCAGAAATGCAGATATTGGTCATTTTCTAAGTGAGGGAAAATTATTTGTAAACAAAATAGAAAACAAATATTGTCAGAAAGCCTATTATTCAGATATACTGTGCTTTGTGCTTTTAATTCTTCAGTTGTCCTACTTTTACTTCAAGAAGCTTATGTAACTGTGAAAAAAATATGATCAATTTCCCAACCTGAAACTATTAATTTGGACCCCATTATTCCATCCTAATTCTCACTAAGTAGAACTTTACTCTGTGAGGAGGCCCAGTGGCCCCAAAATTACATAACTGAAATAATATAAAGCCACAGTGGTCTTAATGGCTTATATGTGTTTGTTTGAAATCTAAGCAGAGATTTGTTGCAAAAAGTAATGACCAGAAGTCACTCCCAAAAAGCTCTCTAAATTTAAAAAGAAGACTGATTCTCCAGGGTTTATTAAAGAGTTAAAAGTCCCTGGGCTAAATTCTCTTCACTTCAGTGACATTGCACGGATGCAAATGGAGGGAATATCTGGACCCCGTTTTCAGATGACAACAATGCCTATGTCACTCAGTTAAATACAGACAGGCAAAGGCCATTTATTTTATAAAAGTTAAGTAATTTAAATAGTTTATAAAAGTGATCTTTGTTTAATTTTCAGTCATGTGCATGTGAACTGGCTTTTATTTCTTTATAAATTACAGGTTGTGAAGTTGTTAACACGTAAAGTGGTTAAACTCAAAAAAGTTACTCCTGTTCTGGGTGATTCAACAGGACTGATATTCCCTAAACTGTAAAAAACAGGGAATATCAATGAAACCAGTAAGATCTCTAAAAACAGAATGAACTTTTAAAATGCAACCACTGTATATATTTGACAGCTAAACCCATCCTTTGAAAGTAAAATTCAAAGGATCTCAGATTTTTTGTCAGCCTTTCTGCATATTTAACACCTTTTCTCATCATTGTACATGTACAGATGTATTAAATCAGTTATGTGTGTGACTAAAATATATACATATAATGCTAGCTAATTAATTGTTTAACAATAAATGTACCCAAGAAATTAAAATAATCTTGAAAATTGATCATACAATAAGTGAAAGAAATTAGGTCGCAATCCTGCAAGGTATTGAGCAGCCTCAACTCTCAATGATATTAATGGATCAAGCCCTTACTGTCTATATATATTGTTTCAGTGTTTACTCTTTGAAACAAAATATAAGGAATTTGATTACTTTAAATCTGTAATTTGTGTTCAATAATAGAATTGGAGTCCACTGCAGTCCAATTTGGTATGATGATACTGCCAAACTATTATACATTTTGTATTACACTGTTGGGAACTTTTACATATTAACACCATATTCATGTGCTGCCTGAAATTTTGACAGAGAAGCAAGGTTATCAGAGACTGAAACTCCATATTTCTTTCTATTTTTCCTCCTATATGCAAATTTCTCAGACAGTGAAACTTAAATATTAACAAGTTATTTTTCCTATGTAATGAACTGGCTCCTCTTTATAGAAAAACATGACAAAATATATTCTGTTTCATGCAACATTATGAACTTTTGTACAACCCCTAATGTGCTGTTGATCAGGTTCCAGAATGTTTAAATTGTCCTGTGTAATGTCTAAATTAGGTACCTACCTGGACTCTGGCCTCAGTGAGCTCTGTTCTCAGAGCTAGCTGTTCTCTTACATATACATCAGGATAATGTGTTTTCTGGAACACTTTCTCCAGTTCCTCCAGCTGCAAACTGGTGAAGGTCGTTCTGTGTCTCCTCTTCTTACTGCTGGAGACATTGCTGTCACACTTATCTCCCAGTTCATCCAGTTCTCCCTTCTCCTGCATCCCTTTCACTGGAGACATCCTAAGACTGTTGCAATTGTCCATGGGCCTATTCAGCTCTGTGTGAAGAGGCTGTCCTTCTACTTTAGTAATCCCATAGTTCACTGTACACAGGAGGGGGAAATAAGCAGTTAAATGGGCTTTTAGATCGAGGATTTTTAGAAAACTTTCATAGGGAAGTTGATTATATGCAATGATGTGTTGGAATGTGATACAATTGGCAAGGAATCCTGTAATTTTTTTAAAAAAATTTGATGCCATTATTGATACCTATAGAATTTTTGCAAAGATATGTTATCTAAAAATATTCTTTGAACTCTTTTGGTGTGAAGATAAAGAAGTCTGCATAAGTAAATTACCTATTTCTTATATATTGCAAATAAAATACATAATAGGCAGTATATGAAATCTGATTAAAATAGAGTTGCATAGCCACAGAATTCTAGTGTGAACTAGATTTTGATTTAAAATAAATGGCACAAAAGCTGCTGAAAAATGTGATTTTAAACTAAGATGGCAGTTAAACTAACCCCAACATATTTCTATGAAAAAATCAAAATAATTATATAGAACAAATTAAATATTTGTAAATTGACTAATCAAGAACCACTCAATTAAGTAAAACTAAAATTTGACATTGTGCACAAACCCAACAGATTTTTAAATACTCTTGGATTTGTGAAGTGGAATTGTTTCCAATTAAGGTTGTTATGATTACAAAATATAGGGGGTTTCTGCAAAATGTTAATAAGTTAAAAGAAATTATTTCATATATTTTGTATTAGTATTACAGGAACTATTTATCTTTAGGTAAACACTAAATGACAGCAATAAATATTAAAATATTTTTCTTTAGTTTCTAAATAAGAAATAAAAAACATTTGATATTTTTGCTAAACATGTCACATTGCATGGATAACTCATCCAACATGTTACAAGATTTGAAAGATCCTTTTTTTGCTCTCACAGACAGGATGGAAAATTGAAACATCTACTGCAGTAAAACTTTATAAAGGATGGCATCAGGCATATGATTTGGAGCTTGTTTTGTGGTTCTCTGCCATGCTCCATAATTTCATTCAGAACCATTGATGCTTCTTTGTTCATTCACGGTGATTTTAACCAAACATAATTTTTTTGATACCCGACTCCAATACACAGATTAATAATGCAATAAAACACCAAACATAAATTAAGCAAGCTAATTAAAAGCAATCACACTCAGTAAATCAATATGCTGTAGCTTTCCTAAACCACACTTGTTCTTGATACTTTTAAGAGCAACAGATTGCCATTGGTCCCTTTAAGATTTCTCACATAAAAAGAATTGTCTCAAAAATCTTTCAATACATATACGAAGTACAGCAAACTTGATATATTATTAATCCTAGTATTGTACTTAGCTGATTTGTAGCCATATATAGGAACTTTCTACTAGACCAAGTTTTTTTTTCTTTTACTATTATTTTTATAAATGCTGAACTACATAGAGAGAAAATATTGAATTAAACTGTCAAAATTGTAAATTGTTCATTAAAAAAACAAAAATAAAGTGTACCATATTTTATTTTGCCTAGATTCCAGAAATATAAACTATATTTATTTATTTAGTCAGAATGATCAAAAATATGTGTTATAATTTATGATCTGTAATATAAACATTACAATTATAAGTGAGTTGCCGTAGTGTACTAAAGTAGTATTAGACCAAATAATTATTTGAAAGAAATGTGAAAAAATGTTATTCAATTTCAGCTTTTGAAATAAAGTACAAATAGTATATATTTTAAATGATCAGTCTGAAATAAAACATTGAAAATGTTCACAATAAAAATATTATATAGAATATAATAATTAACTATAACCCAAATACATTGTATGTAACTTTTGGGAAGTGAAAACATTCTGAATAAAATATTAGAAAACTACATATACTTTAATCATTTTGTAACTTTTGGGAAGTGAAAACATTCTGAATAAAATATTAGAAAACTACATATACTTTAGTTATTTTGGTACTTAACATTTGCAGTAAGGTGTTTGGCAGATTTGAAACCTCGTTAAAATAAATGGGTTTGTTATAAATATCTCACATTTATTGGTTTGTTGTTTTAAAAGAACCCACGCTTGCAGGTTATGTGCTGTATACAAGGAGACACAAAAATCCTCTTGGAATTGCAAAAGTGCTTTAACTGTCTTGAAATGAAATGATGGGGTTTGTATTCGGTCGGTTACAAGATAGAAAAGATAGATGGTTTGTTTTGATAACATTTTGACTTTGGAGGGCTTTTGTATTGGAGCTGAAGACTTTACCAAACAGTTACCACTAAGAAATGTCCCTGTAGTAGCTTGAAATCTGTAGTGGGTCTTTTTCTGGCTATTAAAAGTCAGTTTAACAGACTGTATAGCAAGCCAGATCTGAGTCACTTGAGCATGTGTTGCTAGGTTAAGAATGCTTCTAGACACTGCACCAGATGTTATTGCAAGTTTAGCTATTTCGTCTCTTTAGTACATTAGAAGATAGTTTAAGCTAAAAGGTAGAATGACCAAAGCTAAAAGATGGACTGATTATAGAAACATACGCAGTGTGTGTCTATAATATAACAGCACACCGCTATATATGATCATTACATTCTAGCTTGAACTATATATAAAAGAGAATAAATCTGATTCTGTGCACTGTACACATTACAGATCAATCAATGGTTAACATACAGATATTTTCTATTATAAAATCTCCAAATTTAGCTGCATGCTGTAACGAAAAGAACTGTTTAAAAATGTTCGACATTTCTGTTTGGCTCGACTGGTTTTTGGCTAGAAATCCTTCAGGGAATTCTATGGAACTGTCTGAAGGAAGGGGAAAGTCAGTACTGTTTACTGCAATTCGGATTGTGATTCTAGTTCTAGTTGAATGTTTTGAGTTCAGGCTGTGTCTTCCGGAAACATTTAAACTATGGTGCGGTAGAACCCAAAGCGAGAGCTTCGCCTGTGTGCTGCCGGAAAGGGAGGATGAAGCCAAACGAACGGGGCTCTTTAATATATTTGCTTAAAAGATCACTTAAAAAGCGTGCGACCGATCCTCCACCAGAACGTGCTCCGGATCCACCGCACTTTAGTTGCTAAGTGCACCCGTTAAAGCTTCCTCTGTTGTCCTCGGATAAAAGGAGTGAACCTGGGAGGGGAGACGCGCCGATTCCCCTGCTCTGCGAACTAAGAATAGTGCTAAATAATCCTACGGGGAGACTCACCATTATTGTCCTGGCAGGGAGATGTCCTCTCGAGCCTCACATGATGCTCAGTCCTTTGCAGAGGGTTGAAGGCCTGCACGCATTTGCTGGCTGAAGTTTTGCTGTAAAAGGACTCATTGTCCAAAGTTTCCATAACGTGCTCCAAAGTGCCTCCTGCTCCCATGTAAAAGTCACTGTTCTTAGTCGGCTGGCTCTTCAGGGCAAACTTCTCGCTCAGAAAATCCATAATCATCTAAAGCTGCTTGGGAGCCTCTTCCCTAGACAGAGGCTGGACTGTGAGCTGGGGTGGGGGGAGGGAGGGAAGGGGAAGAGACCTCCAGAGCTCAGGGAGCTGCTTTGCCTCTGATCCTTTGATTTGTCTTGTCTTGAAAGGGGGAACCCGAAGTTGCTCTTATATCTTGAAGCTCAGCAGGGCTCCTTGCGCAACCTCCCATTTCTAATGAATATGAAAATAGGCAACCAGTGTAACTCCACCCCACATCCCTCTAGACCTAATCCCAACACTGGAGGGAGATCCAGGCCCACTTTAGACAGACAGATCCATTTCAGACAGACAGACCGACACACAGACGCGCTGGAGGGTGGGGGCAAAAAGATGGAAAGAGACATTTCCCCCACCTCGATGGATTCACATTTCTCCAGGGATTCTGGAAAGTGCGCTAATTCCCCCTCCCGCTTCTCCTCCCCGAAAAGTTTAGAGCAATACATTTTCAGAGGCAAATTCCATTCTAACGGGCTTTTATTTAATCTATTGGAACGACACAGAGATAGGACTATATATGATCTGGAGCTGTGAAATTAACAGCTGGGGTTTCTTCCGCTTCTTATTCACACGGATGGAGAGTTTGATCCCAAAGTAAGAAAACGAAACGCTTTGGGGCTTGTTTGGGTTGTGTGAATGGGAGAATCGAAGGAATGAAAGAAATTTACATCAGAAATTAGCCCAAGAGAAAACTAGCTCCTCCATCCCTTATATGTTACTTACCGTGCAGACTCGAAATCTGGTTTTGTGTATGCGTATAAAGAGACTAAATGTTTCCCTTATCTTAAGCATTCTAGATCTTAAAACATGTAACGACTTTAAGGGGGGAATCACATTTTGAAAACGTCTAGTCGCCCCTTTATTGCTTCTTGGGGAAATGATCGCCGAGTCACTGCAACAAAAATAGTATTAAGAGAAAAAATAACACCTATATTTAAAAGAGGTATACTATAGACAAAGCACATAAATCGTGAAGCTTTTAACTTTCTTGTTTTTTTCCCGTTGCATAACGTGGAGGATTCAGAACAGAAAAAGAGACAGATTTACATTTTGAAGACAAAAATATTTAGAAAAGACCCTAATCAGGAGAGAGCGGAAAATTGCCTTTTTCTGCTCTTTCGGTCGAATTATGATCTAATTATTTAATCATCAGAGAAACTTAGATCCCACCTTGCAACACTCCTCCTCTCAAAGAAATCGATATTTCAGTGATAAGGTTCTCTTCTGTCCCTCCAGATTGGGTTTTCTTCAAAATCATGTTCAATTTTTCACATTTATATGCCATATCATCAGTTTTAAGCCCAATTTTCCACTGAGATCGATGCTGACCTTTTAAAACACATGACACTATGTGGGCCATATTTACTAATAGTACATCTGATAGAGTCGATTACTAAAAAACTGCGGAAACAGAACAAGAAAAAACCGTCCCTAATTTTCACATTAGTATTAAAAGCGCCCACACCAGAGGTGTAATTTATTAACACCAGAGGTGAGGACTAGTCAGCTTTCCCTGTCTTTCTTTTTAAGGCTATTTGAAAATGTAGCTCAGTCAAACTAAAACATGGACCCTCTTTCATCTCGAAAACTATTGTGCAAATTAAGCTTTTGTGAGCTGTTGAAGTATAGGTATGTGAATGGATTGCTTTGGCTGCTGGTAGACCTGTGAGTAGTAAACTAGATAGACAAGCTAGGGCCTAAAGTGAACAACCTCAAGCTACTTTAGTGACCTGAATATTCGGCAGGAATTATTTTCTTCCTTCCGAATAATCCTTCCCCCCCGTCTTGTCCTGTTATTAATTGTCCCACTTTGCTGGGGAGGGGGTGTAGGACAGTTAAAAGAAAAGGGGGAAAACCCTCATTTTTAAGCATTTCCTCTCTGCTGTTCTCTCATCTAAATAAATTGAAGTTTTAAAAAAAAAACCATTAAAATGAACATCCCTGCTTGCTTTTAAGCCAGAAGGGTACCAGAATTGTAGGCAAGGCCGATTTATGTCGAGATATATTTGTCCATTTCTAGGGTATCTAGAAACGAACATTCGTGTGTGTTCGTTTAACACATATTCTGGCTAAAAGACCCGTCTAATTTATCAATATAAATGCCACTTCCTAAGCACTGTACTATTTAGTGTTTCCCTGTGCCTTAGGTTATTAGCTTGGCTGTCCAGCTTACTCTGCATTGGCATTCTCACTATCTAACAGCCATTGTAGCGCCACTGAACTACACATTGTCTATGCTACATTTTCGCCGATGTGCCCTCTGGTTTATAGGGCTCTAGCGGAGATCTCCTAAAGCTCTGATGGTAACTGACTGTCACTGGATGAACCCTAAACGAAACTATACAGTTTAACAATGTAGTGTATTGGAGTGAGACACCCCCCCCCCCGCCCCCGTCGGGGTCTAGTTAACGTGCCAGCAAAGAGGACAGAGCGGAGTTGGACCATCAGTAGAAACACCCACCCTAAAGAAGGGGTTTTTAATGTCCTGCTAAAGATGGGGAGAACACCGCGGCTGGTGCAGGATGGGAAAGGCAGGCACACTCCTGGGCTTGTGTATGCCTGGGTAGGTCCAGCGCTAGGTTTGCTCCTCTAGCTGGATCACTGGTTTTAACAGGACATTTGGTGGAGCGCCTTTGAGGCCCAGATCTGCTGTGGCTGCGGACTCAGCCCGAGCTGCGTCTTGCAAGCCTCGCTCAGCCAAGCCGCAGGGCCAGAGGCGGAGGCTAGCACGTACACAGGAATCCCTCTGATCGCCTCTCTGCTCCTCCTTATGCTACGTTCAATCGCCTGAGCGAATTGTGTGAGGAACGTTACATTTCCCCCCTACGCCAGCCAGCTCAACGCCTGTCGCTGACCTGAGAAAATAGGCCAATAATCCCAGGCCATCCGTATCTCTGTGTACTAGAGCCTTGTCAGCTTGTTTACAAATATGCCTTAAAAGCACTGAACGCCTTGGGGAAAAAGAATGCTCGGTGTCTTTTAAATGAAAACCACATGCAAGGTTGTTGCAGCCTGCAGTGCACTTTTATCCCAATAAATGTCCCTCTTAAAAGGCAGCTAGTAAACTGCAGGGAAGCCGGGGACAAGGAACAGCGCATCTGCCGGTAAAACCGGTTCCCAGCAGACCTCAAGCCTGGACTCTCCCCAGAGACGCTAGGAAACACATTGTGTTGCACGGGATCCCTGCTAGAGAGGGACACGAAGCTCTCTCTGTGCTTAAACTCAGGGCCCGCTTGGTGGCAAACTCCCGTAATAAACGCTTCACCGGCACTTGGCTGGCAAGGAAAGAGCTCTCTGGGTGCCAGGGGGGGTCTCCAAAGCTGGAAAGGCTGTTCATGGTAACGTCACAGCTCTGAGCGTTCCTAACAAGCGCCGAGTGACTCCTGCACACCAGGAGGGGAGCTGCAGCCCGCAGAGAATCCGAAGTGAGACCGTCACTTTCACTTGCGCTTGATGCTTGGTTCCTTCTCGCTCTAAGGAAAAACCCTCATGCGATGGGGCTGAGCGCCTAGGGCTACCACCACTTCTCATCCCATTTCCCGCCTAGAGCTGCACCTCGATGGAGAGGCTGTTGGTTATGATAGCACAGCACCGGGCTGAATCTGTTACAGACAGGGTGCGGGGGGCAGGGGGATACCCACTACCACCACCACCACCCATTGTGTGTTTAGGGGTCAAATTCTGCTCCCATTTACATCCGTGCCAGTCTGCTGACTTCAAAGGGGTGGAAGGACTTAACTGGGGGGCGGAAATTGGCGCCACATTCGTAAATTTATTCTTCTTCAGAACTTGAAAGTGCAAAGCTGCCTTCAGTTGCAGAAAAAAATGTAAAGGGCTTTTAAAGATCTCGGGAGAGAAGGAGGCAAATCACACAGCGCCGGGAGCTCTCTCTCTCTCTCTCTGAAAAAGCATCTTTCTGTAGGGCAGATTCCTTGAGTGCAGCAGCCAGCCCGCCCCGCTAGGCAGGGCAGCGCACAGATGTGCCGCTGTGTTTCAAGAGATGAAGGATCTCCTGAACCTGCTGTGAAAGGGTGTTGCGTGTGATGAAGAGACGTTTCGTGGCCAGAGGTGGTGTGAAGGCGCTTGCCCTTGCAGCGAACGCTAGCTGGCCAGGGAAACGCTGTCCCCCGAGATAACCCCCGGATTATCCGCTGCCAAGTGGCTCCTAGCCCTGAGATTTCGGAACTTCAGAACCTTTTTGAGGGCTTTCGTGTTCAACACAGAGCTTGGCTTCTTTTTCTTTCTTTCGCAACCTTTCCCCTTCCCGTCGGGATCAGTTCGCTGTCTAGGAGCGCAATCAGGAAGCTAAACTAAGATAGTCAACAGGAGTGAATTATGAGCAAACATCAAACACAAACAGATCCCTGATTTAAAAACAAAACCTATTTGGGAAAAAAAGGAATTGGATGTGTCGTTAAAACTTCTCCACTGAACCAACCATCATTATTTGGGACAAACTGCCTGGAGCTACAGCCCAGACGAGTTGCTCACATTGTCTCTCCAGTTTGCCCTGTCCCTATATTTATGGGCATCAGCCTACGGCCCAATTAATGTCCCACTCTCCAGGGAATTCCCTTAGTTCTTCAGTTTGTTTAAACAAAGAGAGCGGACTAAAACACCAGTAAGACTCAGGGATTTCCTTTGTAAATTTCAAATAAGACCACCCCCACCCTCTATTTCAGCCAATGTTTTTTCTAGCATTAGGGTCAGGCATACGGTTGGTGTTTTGGCCTGGACTGTAGGGATCTACTTTACACCGCTGATGTCTTCCAAACAACAAGCTGCTTTTATTGCCTGTGCTGCAAACACGACATATATTTGTGGGAAAAGAGAAATTATTCGCTTAGGTTGAGCGGCAGAGAGAAATCTCTTACTGCAGAGGTTGGCGTCTCTACATTACGGCGTTCTTCCCGAGCTGTTAACACAACCCCATGATAAGGGAATGACAAGCTATAGGGGTTGTAAAATGGATGCTTTTACAGGGTTATTTTACAAAGTGAATTTGAGGTATACCAGTAAGGGAAGCCAGGGAGAAAAAAAAACTTGAATATGACCGAACATGTCAACTGCCGGGAAAGAAAAAAAAAAGTCCATGAAAAAAACGAAAGTAATTGAATGTTATGTAGAATGGCAAGTGGCCAAACGGTTCAATATTTTATGTGCCCTCTGTTTCCTTTGTGGAGGCTTCACCCACCCACGCTTTCATGCTTGAATATATAGATTTGTATTATCTCAGAATAACTCGAGAGTTGCACTGAAGTGAAACCCATCAAGAAATAAATACACCAGCCTACAGTGTTATGAATCATTTTCTAAAGCTTAGTTATGACTCACTTGACCTTCTTTTTGGCGATGGGCGAGCCAAAGAGAGGCGAATAAAACATAAAGTGCAACCTGCAGGAATGATATGACGTGAGAACTATTCACCAAAAATTATCTAAGGGATTGGGAGAAGCCAAATTATATAGATGTAGAATATGGATTAACCGATTTACATTTTACCAAAACATTCTGTTTGGGAAAAATATCAAATCAAATATTATTATAATAAACATACAATGCCAGCGTTTTTAAATGTATTTACACGCCGTTTAAAACGAGTTACTTAATATGGTAAACTTCATGTTCAATGCATTAAAAAAACTGAATATGTTTAACCGAAGCACTCAGGATACTTAAAGGACCCGATTCAACCCTATTAAGTTCTAGAGACAGGTCGTGTCCAAACTGATGATTTTTCTTTCCCCCTCGCCGCGCCCCCATTAACGCATACAAATTTGGTTCAATATAGACAGATGCTCTTCGCATTTCACAGTTTGGAGAAAAAAATGTTGAATCAAAAATATTTTCAGAAATTTTACTAATATCTGGGCTCCGTAGGCTTAGTTAAAACGTACCAATAAATCAAGTTTTTTACTGATATTTTAATATTTAATCCTGTGCTGGCAGAAGAAAAAGACTGGCTCTAATAAATCCCTTTCATCGCTATCTGTAGTAAGTTAAAACAAACGGATCATTTACTAGTTACGCCGGTCCCGATCCCACAGCCAAAACCCAAGGAATGCAAGGTCAGGCACTTTCCGTTCCTATCTACAATCCAGCCAAGGGCAAAATAGCAGTAACGCTGTGGTATCTACCGTTTGATGCGTTGACAATACCTTAGTGGTTTAGCTGATTTCTTTTATGACACCTGCACAGATAAAAAGAAGAAAATCCCTGTCAGTTTAATTTGCCTCAAATAGATGTCCAGGAAAAATACAGCACATGTAGGGAACGTAAAAGTTTGCTTTGCCCATGCAGGAAACAGCAAAATTGTTTCAAAAGCTACTCCAGCTTTGATGAATTTCCATTTGGAGTACGTAATGACTATTCTTAAACCACCTAACGTTTCGCTAAAAACAAAATGGTCTGAGACTGTGTAGTGTGTGGTATGGATTTAATCTTAGCTCAGTAGGGAATCTCAACAGAGATG